GCGATAAAAAATATTATTTTTATACCAGTTTTATTCGTCGTATTTCTTATCGTGCGTCCAACTTTAAAATCTTACCGTTTAAAATTTTGAATTATACCGTGTACTGGAATCCAAATAAAATCCAAATAAATTGGTCCATACATTGGACAATACTACAAAAAAAAAAAAAAAGAAATAGAATAACATAGCATTAAACGATTTCGAACGGATGCAAACATCTCTCACTTTGCGACCGACTTCGAACCGAATTTATCGAAACGTGATTTATTACTTTATCGGTTCGATTGTAAAACGACAAACTCCTTCTCCTCTTTATATTTAAAATTATATATTATATAATATACATTGGAAAATCGTGTCAACCATGCGATACTATGATCCAACGTAATCGGTGAGCGAGTTCCACGCGTTGCGCGATATATTTCAGTTTTGCATCGAAACTGGAAATGTCAAGTTGTCGAGGAAATTCGAAGGAAACTTAACCCAACGAGAATCGATCTAACTACAAACGTAATTTCATAATATCGAACAACGTAATATAACGTAATATAACGTAATATGTACGAATCTTAATTCTTATTCGCGCTGCTGATGGAATTCGCGGAATACGTCGTGCGAGAGAAATCGAAATCGTAAAAAAAATTTTACGATCTTTAGTTGAAAAACGTAAAAAAAAAAAAATTGGTAACAAAGTTTTTGAATAATCTCGATCCGCGAAAGATCGAAATCAAAGTGTCTACGAGATTCGTCGTTTATTTTACTACTACGTATACTAGGATATATATATGGATTCGAGTAACTATCGACGATGAAATATTTGCCACGGTTTGTATCGATAGAAGCTCGACGAAGTAACGACATATCTGACTGTCAAGCAGCCAGCCTCCACATGGAAATTCAATTTGTACCGCACCAGCTGCGAATCCGGTGACGGCTACGGCTGACAATGCACGCGAAACCGTATTACGGCAATACCGAGACGAATAATCTGAAATTGAAATTACGGAAGTTAAGAGCTTTGTTCCAGGTTCTCGAGCGCAAACGGCGTGCCGAGAGAAAACGAGCACGACCATGCGCCAATACGAAGACGCGAGATCGCTTCGCTTATTTCGGATTCCTTCGGGATCTTTCTATCCGCGCTTTTCTTCTCATTCTCGCTTTTCCCTTTCTTTTCTTTTCTTTTCTTTTCTTTTCTTTCTTTCCTTTCTTTTCCTTCTTTTCTTTCTTTTCCTTCTTTCTTACGCTTACTTTCTCTTTTATCCGATGAAACGCTACAAGAATGAAAGAATTCACTTCTAATTTTATCGATGTGAAAATTAATCTCTACGACGGGTATATATCGATTCATTCACGCTTTCAACGCGAACCTCTTGCAATCGTTAATGTACACGTCGAAGCAAAACCTGTTACTTCGTTTAAATATTTCCGACACCAGGAATATCTTAGTCGAATCGATGATTCTTCGTTTCTCGCAATTTTATCAATTATCGAATTCTTAACGTCGATTCGTATTCCGAATATGACGAGTGAAACATCGAGTCGATAGACCAAAATCGCGAAATGTTCGCAAAAATCTGCCGTGAAATATCGTATTTTCGTCGTTTCGCGCATCTCAATTTACATCGTTCTCTTCGTAAACTTCACCGCTTTGATACTCGTCCACTAATCTCTCTTTTATGCTTAAAAAGAAAAAGGCTTTGATATTTTTACGTTCTCCTTCGTTATCCTTCTCATCTCTTGCCACTCGAAATCTCTAATCATCGAGACGATCCGAATTTCCTTATATCCCCTCGCCTTCTTCGTTTCTCGATCGATTTACAATTTTTCCAATTCTAAAAGATAACAAGTTTCGCTCGATAATCGCTTCGGTTCGTTATGCGTTAGTAAATGCGAGTAAATACCGATGGTTTTAGATAGAAAAAAAAAAAAGAGGTTCTTGCGCTCGACTATCCTCTTTAATCTCCAACTTTGCTAATTCGCTAATACTTGCCGATCTTTCCAAAACGAAAATTAAATTTAAATCGATGCGCCTTCGAAATATAAATATCTCGCGTTCGAATAATCTTTACCGATGCATCTTAATACGTATCCGATTTTTCAAGATACGACGATATCTCGCAACGACGCGGCAAAAGTAAGAAATTCTATCGTTCCGAACGATTATAGTCGTAAATTTGACGGCCCTTTTAATCTTTTACATCGTGACTTTTAGATTTATTTTCACATCGGTAGATATTAGCGCATAGATACACGAGATAAACGTATATATCGACGTACACGAGTGAGGATATTTGCTCTCGCCGCTATACATATAGCTGGTGGCTGTGTACTCGCAGAATTGGACATCCGCAAAGATCGGTTTATCTAATTAGATTTAACACGAGCGCCGCTGCGCTTCGTCACCGCTGATCCTCGTTATCCCGTCCAATAATTGGCGCCCTTCCAGAAGCAACGGCACGGATTTCTCGATTTATCGAACCGCGTCTGCCTGCTGCTTCTGGAATTCGATTACACCGCGAGAGGAGAGTAACTTTGAAGGCTATTAATTTCCCACTGGAAAATTGACAAATCCGAGAAAATCGATATCGAAAAAAATTTCGATCGATCAACCAGAAATAACGAATAGCTTCCGAAATTTGAAAACTAATATATATATATATATATATATATAAAATTTGGATAACCTCGTCGTAATTTTAACTCGAGACCAGCCACGAATTCTATACCCATTTATATCGACATTGTTACATTATACGTTTGTATACGCATTACCGATCGCTTCGTTCTTTATATCTTGTATTTAGCATAATGGATGAACATACGCGATCACATATCGGTAAATCATAATATAACCAGTTCCGTGTTTAACGGGTTGTTGCATCGCGCGTTCCGATTCAACCGATCCTTCCCTGTTCGACGGACGCCAACGCCAACAACGCCCATCCCAGATTAATTAATTCTATCGACTTTTCAATTAGTCGGTCTAAACGACGCTTTGCTATTTAGAAATCGTCCATTTTATAAGTACTCGTTTAAGAAGTTTTTCATGCTCTCCTCGTTGGAAGAAAGCTGGAAGAAATAAAAAAAAATAAGCAATTTGCATTTGTTTTCGAGCGTGGCAAGTGTTGCGATGGAAATGCGATTCGATACCCGGCAAGGCCGGGAATCCGATTTATCGAAAGGCCGTTGGCAGGCTCACGATGCGCCAACAGCATGCCAAATATTCCAACAATCGCGTTCGTTGCTCGACTCGAGACCGATCGGTGAACGCCGAAAATTATCAACCCGCGATTCTCGCTGCTTTGTAATTAATTCCACTGCGCTTCTGCGTCGAGGAAAGGCCAATTTTTGCCTTGTATCAAAACGGAAATTTATCTTCTTCTTCTTCTAGAATTAATTTTTTCTTTCGCGTTAGACGTTAAAGCGATTCGAATCTTGAATTCCAATCGTTTAATCTTAATATTATACGTTTATACATCGCGAATAACGCGTGTGACAATAAACGAATTAATCGAAATACTCGACGAGTGTTTTATCGAGCGTCCCTATTATTGGGAAAAACGAAGCATGCACGGCCCAAGATAAACGCGAAATTATTAGAAATTGATACGATCGAGAAATTGGGCTGAAGGTAGCGAGGTGTAAAATTTACGAATTAAATCGTTATAGTATATACTATTGGAAAGATCTAATGCGAAACGCAAAAGGGGATCGACTGATTCGTATCTTTTCAAAATTGACCGGAATTCGATGAAAAACAGATATCCGCCGTTATCCACGCTTTATCTTGGCTAAATCTCGCGTCTCGTCCATTCCAATAGATCCGTTCATCGTCGGAAAAAATGTTTTAAACATCGTTTTACGCGCGTCTATACTTTTATCCGAATTCTCTTATCCGAATAATCGATCGTTGCGATTCGTCCAACTTTCCATCCTAATAATTTTAATTCCATAAAATCTCTAATTTAAAATGTTTTAAAAGTAATAAAAAGTAAGAAAAAGGAAACGCTTTTTACGCAAATAAGAGTAGCGACGGTTGATCAAATCAAATTGAGCGTTTTTTTCCAGTAACGCGATAAATGAAAATAATTCGTCGACGTTTACGAATTTTCATTTCACGACTGTTTTTAATTTTTTAAAGCGAAAAAAGGGAAAAAAAGAAAAATATGGTCTTAAGAAGAAACGAGAGAATATTCTGGTTAGAAAATCGTATAAAACGTAATAATGTTGCTGTTTCGTAGCTAAATTAAAAAGGGAACGTTAACGAAAGAAAAAAGAATGGGAAAAAGGCCAAACGTTTTATTACGTGATGCAAAAAGTGCACGACGTAGTAACGTGGGAAGAAGCAAAAGATGGAACGGGGAGATAGACAGGGGAAAGGGGGAAGGAAAAAGATGAGAAAGGTGGAAGAGGAAAAGATGCGAACAAGTTGTAGAAGAAGAGAATCGCGCGTAGGATTAAACTTGTAGGAGGTAGGTACCGTTGTGTCTCTTGCTCGTATTTTTCTTCTTCTTCTTCTTCTTCTTCTTCTTTTTTTTCCCCCTCTTTTTTCGGTTAGCATCGCCGTCCTATCCTTCACGTCCCGCTCGACGTTTCCTGCCAAAACTTTTGCTCGATATATCCACGCGAAACGTCGCGTTATACGGCAATGTGACGACGACTAGAGATTGCTCTCGGATACGAAACGCAACGCGATGTTCCATGCAATTCCACGGTATAATTCTACGATGGCGTCGATGAGAGACGTTGATTCGCATCGAAATACGAGAAATCGATCGCATAATGGACGTTAAATCAACTCTTTTCTACGGAGTATACTTTACTCGGGAGTAACGCGAGATTAGAAATTCGCGCGCATCATTTTTCGATTCGCAACTTTGTCGTTTTTACATTTTTTACATCGATTATTGGAGAACAAGTTCGATCCAAGCTTAATTACGTTATCATTCGATCATATCTATCCACGAGTTTCACGTTTATCATAAATTTTCGTGTTGCAGGTTGGACGACGAAAAACTGGATCTCATCAACGTAAGTAACTCGAAATCGAAATTGATACGATTTTTCAATTATTCTTTCTTTCTTCCACCGAGTCGAAAAATCGATCGATCGTATATCTTCCGAATAAGCGAGGAATCGCATGTATCGACGTTCGAAGCGAAAGCTTCTTCCCTTCCGAATCGTACGAAATGACGTCTTGGCTCGTATCCATCGACCGACGATCGAAAGTTATCCAACGAAGCGTAACGTTTATCTTTTCCTAAGCGACGATTAATACCGATCGATTTAATTAGCGGTTACTATGCGAAACGAATGGCCGAGAACGATACACGCATAATCGTGACAGCTTTTACCCTACCTCCTATCCCGATATACGTAGATATATGGCATATGGGAAATCTAAATGGAGCGTGGAATATGGATGCGTTCTCCGTCGTATCAAACGTTACCGGCATCGTACCGGTCCTAACGTACCACCACGGCGGGTATAGGTGTATGCGGCAAATAAGCGGAAATTACCGGGCGCATTTCAATCAGAGCACCTGGCAAGCTTGGAACACGCGGGGCCATCCCCGTTTACTCCGCATAATAGTCGGTCGTATGATAATCTCGCGAGGGAGCAGAGGTTGAAAACCGATTGCTCCCTTCTCCGGTGAACGAGCATCGGATCGATCGTCAAACACGGCGAAAAGCCATATTTGCCATCCGTTCCCTGTATTTGCCCTCTATCTTCTAAATTTCTCCGTTCAACTGCGCGCCAATCTCCCCATCTCTCGCATCTCCGCTCTCCGCCTTTCTTCCATCATTCCAAGTATCGCGAACGCGATATTTAGCAATCTTTCCGCGATTCTCCACCGATCCCCCTATCGAATCGATCGTTCGTTCGAAGAAAAAAGAAGAAAAAAAAAAACAATAAAAATAATTGGTTTCACGGCAATAAAACGCTAATTATCGAGATGGTAAATCGCGCGGTGATGAATGTCGAATATTGGAAAGGGGAAATGATGGGTTGTTCTGAAGTAGAAACGGTGTTCGCCGGGTCAGCCAACGATTTCGTAACATCACGACTCGCGCGCGATTCATTTATTCCGAAAATTTTCACCAGGATACCGCCCGCCATCTTGCTCCGTAACTCGAATAATTGCCACCGCCAGAGTAAATGAATCTAATTGCATCTAAAATTTAAATAAGACTCGACATTTCCATTTAATACCGGCATCTAACCGACCGCGAAATTCGATGAAGCAACACCGATTCGTTTCTTCTATTTTTTTCGTAATCCGCACCAGCAATCTCTCGATATACGTTATTTTTCGATAATCTGTGAAAAATTAATTTTTCCATCTCCTTTTTTTCCTTTTTCTTTTTTTCTACAATATTTTCTTATATTTCTCTTCTATATATCTATATCCATCCATCATTTCACCAGTCACGGAACATTATGATTTTAATGACAATTCAATTTCATACTTTTCTATATTCGTTATAAAATGCCAAAGAATTAATATCTAAGTTAATAACAAAAATATAGATATAATTTAGATAATTTTTGCGATACAAATTATATTTCTGTTACGAATATTAATTCTAATCAATGGATGAACAAATATATTGTTATTCGTTACAAGTATAATAATAAAAGAAGCATAAGTCTAATAAAAAAAATTACTCGACGATATACAGAAAATTTCTCGTATCGATAGAAAACACGACAACGAAAAGATATTTCTAGGATTTACGGAATATTGTGATAAAGGAGAACAGCGCTTCTCCCGTGTAGCGATAAAGGAAACGTTGGCTACATCATATAGGAGCGAACGACGTGGAAAGAAAAGAGAGGAGAAGCGAAATGAAACTAACGAGGATAAGGAGTGGACGTGTGTGTATATATATATATATATATACATATATATATTTAACAGCTACATATGTATACATATGTATACATATGTATATATAACGGACACTGCCGAGAACATGCCAACGCAGAAGAAAAATTGGATTTGCTGCAACGTTTTGTCGCTGAGAAATTTTGAAAAAAATATATATATTTTAATCGTAATAAATTCAATCGTAAATCATAAACACATTAAATTGTACGCTTTGTATTCTTTACGCAGAAGAAATCGCAATCTCTATTATGATAAATCACGATTTGATTTAATTATTATACGAAATGTTTTCTTCTTCTTCTTCTTCTTCTTCTTCTACCCATCGTTGGATGATCGATAAATGGTTGCTCGTTATTCGAAAGATTGGATCGGTAAAGCTGTTAACGAGAAACGCCGTCTACAATGTAATCGGTGAAAAATAATTAAAGACGATGAAATTAAGCGTTGCACGTTCATGATGTTCCAAGCCCCATTTGTTCGGCTCCGTTTTAATTATCAGACGCTTGCCATTAGGCCGATATTAATGACGCACGTTCGCTCGAGCGTAACTCCCTTCTACACCCTTTTACTCCCTTCGACAACACGCAACCATCCAGCGATCGTTTGTTTAAAGCATTCGGAAGTAATATAGATGGTCGTTTCTTCCTCTCTCCGATTCTCGCCATTCTTCGTATATAATCGTGCACGAAAGTTTACACAGATTCCCACAAATTATGCCTAATTATCGTCTAATTATAATTAAAAAAAACTTGTGACGAAACGTGTTTGTCGCGATTATTTATTTATTTGGAAATAATAGGAGTAAAAGGTGAAAAAGCAATTACGTAATATTTAAATCGTGCATTTTGATTTATTTCAGAATACCATTTTACCCGAAGCAGTGCACTTTTGGGAGCGGGCACTCATGGTCCGCGAAACAAAAAGCACTATTAGATTAAGCAGGTAATCGTTTTATCTATTAATCTGTCACGTTTCGATGAATGCATGCATATTCATTTTCGTGCTTTTCTGTCCAACTTTGGAAATGAAACGAAACGAAACGAAACGAACGAGCGTTCATTCCTCTTACAAATCAAAACTTTCAACGCTATATTATATCTACGTATCGTAATTAGATCAAAGTAGATATGAAAAACGTAGAATAGACGTGATATTTTGAGAAATTTTTTCTTCTACGTACAATATACGTAAATCACGATTATTAAATCGCTTGAATTTTTTTACCAAAAATATTACCGCGCTTGCAGCCAATTAACTCATATTGTTATTTCTTATATAACATATACATGATATACCACTGATATATACACGAGGATTATACACGATTTCCCAAATCCCGCCGCTTCTCATCCTAATATCCATTCCATCTTATCGTATCCTTTTCTTATCGCGAAAATTTTTATTCATTCTCAAATAAATTCTCCTTTCGACATATATACATATTTATTTACAAAACGTTCGATCATTGTGCAAAACAAATAACGAAACGTTGTATGTACAAGGAAAGCGAAAAACTAATTAAAAAAACTAAATACCAATTTCTATCAATATTTTCATCGTCAAAAATAATAGTTAGAAAACATTTAAAAAATGAAATAAAATAAGCGGAATAAATGCTCCATACCAAACCATGCACCCCATTTTCATTTTCTATTTATCTACGTTACATTATTTTTTATTTAAATAAACAACACGTTAAGTAACATAATGTTAATTATACCTTTATTAAGTTGTTTCACTAATATTCACTAATATAATATTAAATAGTAAATTGAAACGTATCTTAATTTTTATTAACATTGTTAAATTTGTTTGTTTTTGAAACAAACTAATGAAATTAATAAAATTATATAATAACTACAATTACTATATAACTACAATTAACAATCTTTTTTTTTTTCTATTCATCTTTTTCAATTTGTAACCTGTAACAAACTCAATTATTAAATTAATAATGAAAATATTGTTAAGTAACGCATAAATTTTCATTCTTCTAATTTTTTTCCTCGTCAAAATGACGTTGAAAATGACAATTGAAAAAAATGCGAATTTTGATTTGAATTAAAAAATTTTAACCAAAATTTTCTAATTCAGTTTGAATCTGACTTCAACTAAATATCTCATTTTAATCGTAATAATTTTCAATAATACTGTAACGAATGAAAAATATTTATTATTAACAAAAGAATACATTTTTCAATTATATTTTCAGTAACAAATTCTCTGTTAAGAAAGAGGCGATGAAAAGAAAAAAGCAAAGAAGAAATAGCCAGAAGGGCTATCCAAAGTATAATAATAATTCGAGTCAATGTAAATCCGAACAAACCGTGAGTGAAACATCTTTTTTATTTCGCAAACTCTAATATACTAAATTTTAAAAAAAAAGTACGAAGAATGCTTTATTGTGTTTGTAATTCGAGTCTTGATAAACAAAAAAAAAAAAAGGTAAAGAAAAAAGAGATACATATAACATATATTTTCAATAATATTTCGATTATTTGCAAAACTCTAATAAACTAATTTACGCACTCATATTTTATCATCGCGACACTAATAGCGGAAAATTGCAGCCATATCAAAGGCTATCGTCCGTCGTACAATCATCCAAATGGATTTGATTCCAATCAGTGATCCAGGAGTAGGAACGTATTTCCACGATCCAACAAGAAATATGGACAAATTATAAACGCAACACTACTATAAAAAAACGCGAGCATTTATCACGTAACGTTATTAATTTTAACGTAAAATTATAAATAATTATAATAAATATATTCTATAAGAAAACTTATAGAAACGTCAAATATCCCGATCGCAACATTATAAGACAAGTTTAAGTTTGTATTAAAAAAAATAATAATAAAAAAATAATTTATAATCAAAATAATGCGAAACCGCGATATCCATAACTGATTGGATTTGAACGTTGGGCCGGCATGTAAATCGGCCAGACAATAACATGTATATGCATATTACTGAAACGAGCACAGTGACAAAATAGTAACAATGACTTCCCATTCTTTGGATCCAAACAAGATACAAAAAATGAGAAATCATTCGTTGCAGCCCTCTTCATGACAATTTGTCGGGCCTCTTCGGTCTTCCTCCTTCGGGCATAAGTGCACATGTACGACCAACGATCGCAATGATCGTTCTTAATACATGTGCGGAATCTCGAGCGCAACGTTCGTTTCGAAACGTATTTCGCGTCCACGACCGCGGAATTCGAAAAATCGATCGGCAAAGCCAACAACCGAGTGACACACTGTCCACTCGTTTTCGAGCTTCATCCTCGATCTTTCAAATTTTACTTCCTGAAACAGGTTGTCACGCGAAAACGCGCCTACCCGATCAGAGACAGTGACAACCTGCCCGGCCCTACCTACTTATAATTAAACAGACACATCAGAAATATACTACCTATCCTACCTATCCCTATATTTAAAAATTGGCAAAACAGGCACACCAACACATTCGTTCCACGATTCTCATGCATAATACCCGGGCGCAAAAAGCCTACACTAGGGAAAGCGTCCCGGGACGCTTCCGACACCCGAGTTTGGCACACTTACTCTCACACTTCTAACTGTACGTACCATTTTCCTGAAATCGACTGACGATTGTTAGCGACCATTGCGTGAAACGCGATCAAAACGCGTATTTGTATATTTGTATCAAAAATTTCAATTATTTATGATCGAAGATAAAAGAAATGACTAAACGAGATCAATTAGATTTCCATTATTGTAATTTAAAACTAAAAATAAATAATGCTACTATTTATTATTATTACATTATTTTATTTCAAATATAATATCTCGATTGTAAATTGTAATTGAATTAACAATCGAATAAAGAAAATAATAAAAATAACAAACGATGCAATTCCACAGCCTAACACACGCACACACTCACGCATACAATGTGGAAAATACATCGTGCACGATACACTAATGCATCGTCAGTCGCCGAGAAATTTTTATTAGCTTATGATCTAAGATCATCATGCTCATTGCCTTTCTCTCACCCAAGTAGTACCTGAACACGTGAGCGAGATTCTGGCAATGGACATGGAAGAATAATTAAACCTGAAAATCCTAAGCTAAAAAAAATATTAATATATTCATTTTATATCTAACGGATTGAATTTTAATGAATTTTAATTTTACATAATCTCATTCTATTTCAATATTCTATTTCTATTTTAATATTCTATAAAAAAAAAAAGAATCACTAATTAAATCACTAATTAAATAATCAGAAAAGAATATATTTATTAAAAAAAATTATTAAAATGAAATTCAATAAATTGATTCAAAGTTAAATAATCCTATTAATGAAAATATTCTCAGGCGATTTCTCTATCAAAGCATATTTTCGAAAATACAAAACAAATATTCAAAATTTATAGCTTTGATTTCAAAATCTAGCCGACGCGAAGTATCTTCTTGAACATAATATTTTACATATTTTCAAACGAGAAAAACAAAACTATCAAATTTATTATTTTGATAATCAAACAACTAAAACTATTATATTAATATAAATAGAATTAAAAATGCATTATTTATTATTTATTACAAATATTTTGTCTCTAATTCAGATGCGAATATTTATATACAATAATTTAATTTTATACTAACTTGGAAGATTATTAATATTTATAAGCTAACGCGATGTACAAGAAGATCTAGCCTGAGCTAATAAATGAAATGAAAAAAAGAAAATGTTACTATTCACGGATATATAAAAATACCCGCGGTCACTGTGCTCGTGAAAAATTCTATATACAACCAATCAGCCGTATCGTTTCGGACTTTTCGTCCTACGATATGATTGAGTGATCGGAGGAATCAAAATTCATGCGACTCACCATTAGATGCGAATAATCTCTCTATCGTGAAGTAGTTATCGCAAAGATTGGGATATCTAAAACAAAAAGTTCATCCATTATAATTTATTACAAATGTAAAGGTATAAGGATAAAGGAATAAACGATAAAGGAAATAAGATAAGATAATAAAAGTAAAATAATAGTAAAAATTAAATCAATATAAAATATTTGAATATGATTGATATTTAAAAATTCAAATTTTTTAACTACAGAATAAAAATTTAGATAGAAAAAAAGATAATTACTTTTTCGAATGATGGATGATTTTTTTTATTCTCTTGAGTGGAGCACTGATTCTAACCTCTATCGAAAATGAATATTTAAAACAAAAAAAAATAAATAAAAATTAATAACTATTAACGTCTGTTTATCTTTTTTAATTGGCAAACAAGCACTGATTCTAATTTCGCGTATTATATTTAATTATGTTTATAATTGCATTTAATTAGTATATTCTAAAAAATGGAAAATACTATTACGAAACAAACACTGACTCTATCGACCGCATTGCGCGCGATCACAATTTTCTAATAATCTAACAAATTCAAAATAGAAATATAATTTTACGATCTGTTCCATTTTCATCGTATTCTTAATTCACATACTGAAGTATTATTATATTTAACGAACATTATCACAATCCGATAAAAAAAATAAAAATCTATCCACTTTTAATACAAAAGATCAAATATAAAACCACTTCTCCGAATACGTCAAACGATCGTTATAACGTCCATATTGAAATTTCTTTTTCCTGCTTATAGGTTATCCTGATAGTCTAAACTATTAATCTGTAAGAAAGATAATTCTAATTTTTAAAATAAATATATATATATATATACCTATAACATATGAATTTAAAACTAATCGTGTTGAAACAAAACAATAATCAAATTCAAATCTTATTTTAAAAAATAAATCTTTTTCACGAATAAAACTAACAATAAACAATATTAAGGTTAATAATAAAAATTAAATATGTTATTATCTCAAAGAATTATCAATTGTAATAATAAGTTATACAAATTAAATAATAATATATAAAAAA